TTGTTGCAATCGCAACTTCCTGGATGGACAGTTTATAACTCCTAACCCATATAAAGAATTTTCTTCTTGTATCAGCGTAGAATTTAAGTTGTACGTCTGTATATTTAATAGATGAAATGTTTTCCAAAAGAATTGTTCCTGTGTAGTATTTTGGATATATTTTGTGTAAATAGATTTCTTGCTGCTATTTGTGTAATCTTCCAAGAAATAACTACTGCATACTGTCATACCTTTTGAAGAGAAGTGCAATTATTGAATTATGATATGATGATAAAAAATGATATGATGATAAAAAATACAATGTTGTGATGCTCTGATTAACTTTGCAAGCTACATGAACCCATAATTAAGTGTCTTGCACACAAAAACATTTTTAAAATACTGTAGTATATAATGCCTTTTGTGCATGAGATAAGAGGAACTGTAACTGATAAGCCAGCACAGGTCATAACTGTATGACAGTTAACATCAGATGTGTGACACCTTTTGGTCCCCACCCATTATCTGTCACCACCAGTCAATCTGCCTACACCCTCTCTTCAGCACACAGTTTAACCCCTACTCTCCCCTACTACCCTGCTGCATACGCACACATTATATATATACACACACATATACACGCTAACCACTGTGCTGCGTTGACACTGGTCCAGTTTGGGGGGGTCTGCTGTAGCGTCCTGCAGCAGACTAAGGCAGCCAGATCTTTTGAACAGCATCAGTGCATGTCGTCCTCACAGTCACACACCCTGTTGCCTGTCACTCTGCTGGTAACTGCAAATATAGACACAGCCTGTACTTTGTTTAACATGGTGCAGGTGAGATTAATCTACAAACGCTTAAATAACCACAAGTTACAGTAACTGGTATTGTCATAGGTGTGCAGGTGGATATTGTGGATACAGGGCGTCTCCTGTAAAAGGTTGTTAATGAAACAGTGCCAGCTATCTGCCCTAGTCTCTCTCACTCTGCTGCTCAGTAGAACTGAAACTAGAAGTAAAGCATCCTCTAGTGGTGGCAAACTCACAGTGCTTACAGGGTATTATTTTACACACACAGAACACTGATATATTTTGTATTTGATTGATGTATTTTTTAAATCCTTTTCTCTTACAAACACAATCAATATCACAATACAACATCACAGTAAAGATATTTAAAAGGACACATTTTATTTTTAGGTATACGCTATCCCTCAGTTACTAATGTGTATATGTCCAATTTGTCCCTTTCCCTTTGAAACAGTGTTTTTTAAAGTGGGGGGCAACCAGGAGGGCCTCAGAAAATTTGAGGGAAGGTGTGGGAAAATAATAATATAATAAAAAATATACATATTATTTTATTATAAAATATAATTTAAACAAAAAATGCTTATAATGTAAAAATGAAATACTGAGTCTAATGTAAGGATTAAAAATGTTTAAATACAAATGTTTTTAATACAAGTAAGGAAAT